GGCTGGCGGTAATATTTTTTGGGTGATTAGTGCATTCCAGTGACAGAAACGTACAGTTTTCCAGCCAACGGCAAGCTGCAATTGACCGATTGTGTACATAAACTGACTTTCTGCTTCACAACCACTATTGTACGTTCAAAGAGTTAAATCCATTTACACGCCCGGGTGGCCTGGCGGTAATATTTTTTTGGGTGATTAGTGCATTCCAGTGACATAAACGTACAGTTTCCAGCCAACGGCAAGCTGCAATTGACCGATTGTGTACAATAAACTGACTTTCTGCTTCACAACCACCACTATTGTACGTTCAAAGAGTTAGATCCATTTACACGCCGGGTGGCGGTAATATTTTTTGGGTGATTAGTGCATTCCAGTGACATAAACGTACAGTTTCCAGCCAACGGCAAGCTGCTATTGACCGATTGTGCTAAATAAACTGACTTTCTGCTTCACAACCACTATTGTACGTTCAAAGAGTTAAATCCATTTACACGCCGGCTGGCGGTAATATTTTTTTGGTGATTAGTGCATTCCAGTGACATAAACGTACAGTTTCCAGCCAACGGCAAGCTGCAATTGACCGATTGTGCTAAATAAACTGACTTTCTGCTTCACAACCACTATTGTACGTTCAAAGAGTTAAATCCATTTACACGCACGCCGGCTGGCGGTAATATTTTTTGGGTGATTAGTGCATTCCAGTGACATAAACGTACAGTTTCCAGCCAACGGCAAGCTGCAATTGACCGATTGTGTAAATAAACTGACTTTCTGCTTCACAACCACTATTGTACGTTCAAAGAGTTAGATCCATTTACACGCGGCGGTGTGCGGTAATATTTTTTGGGTGATTAGTGCATTCCAGTGACATAAACGTACAGTTTCCAGCCAACGGCAAGCTGCAATTGACCGATTGTGCTAAATAAACTGACTTTCTGCTTCACAACCACTATTGTACGTTCAAAGAGTTAATCCATTTACACGCCGGGTGGCGGTAAATATTTTTTGGGTGATTAGTGCATTCCAGTGACATAAAAACGTACAGTTTCCAGCCAACGGCAAGCTGCAATTGACCGATTGTGCTAAATAAACTGACTTTCTGCTTCACAACCACTATTGTACGTTCATTGTTTACGTTGGCGGTAAAGAGTTAAATCCATTTACACGCCGGCTTCACAACTATTGTACGTTCAAAGAGTTAATCCATTTACACGCGGGTGGCGGTAATATTTTTTGGGTGATTAGTGCATTCCAGTGACATAAACGTACAGTTTCCAGCCAACGGCAAGCTGCAATTGACCGATTGTGCTAAATAAACTGACTTTCTGCTTCACAACCACTATTGTACGTTCAAAGAGTTAGATCCATTTACACGCCGGGGCTGGCGGTAATATTTTTTTGGGTGATTAGTGCATTCCAGTGACATAAACGTACAGTTTCCAGCCAACGCCAAGCCAAGCTGCAATTGACCGATTGTGCTAAATAAACTGACTTTCTGCTTCACAAACACCACTATTGTACGTTCAAAGAGTTAAATCCATTTACACGCCGGCTGGGTGGCTGGGTAATATTTTTTGGGTGATTAGTGCATTCCAGTGACATAAAAAGTACAGTTTCCAGCCAACGGCAAGCTGCAATTGACCGATTGTGCTAAATAAACTGACTTTCTGCTTCACAACCACTATTGTACGTTCAAAGAGTTAAATCCATTTACACGCCGGCTGGCGGTAATATTTTTTGGGTGATTAGTGCATTCCAGTGACATAAACGTACAGTTTCCAGCCAACGGCAAGCTGCAATTGACCGATTGTGTACAATAAACTGACTTTCTGCTTCACAACCACTATTGTACGTTCAAAGAGTTAGATCCATTTACACGCCGGGTGGCGGTAATATTTTTTGGGTGATTAGTGCATTCCAGTGACATAAACGTACAGTTTCCAGCCAACGGCAAGCTGCAATTGACCGATTGTGCTAATAAAACTGACTTTCTGCTTCACAACCACTATTGTACGTTCAAAGAGTTAAATCCATTTACACGCCGGCGTGGCGGTAATATTTTTTGGGTGATTAGTGCATTCCAGTGACATAAACGTACAGTTTCCAGCCAACGGCAAGCTGCAATTGACCGATTGTGTACAATAAACTGACTTTCTGCTTCACAACCACTATTGTACGTTCAAAGAGTTAAATCCATTTACACGCCGGGTGGCGGTAAATATTTTTTGGTGATTAGTGCATTCCAGTGACACAAACGTACAGTTTCCAGCCAACGGCAAGCTGCAATTGACCGATTGTGTACTAATAAACTGACTTTCTGCTTCACAACCACTATTGTACGTTCAAAGAGTTAAATCCATTTACACCGTGCCGGTGGCGGTAATATTTTTTGGGTGATTAGTGCATTCCAGTGACATAAACGTACAGTTTCCAGCCAACGGCAAGCTGCAATTGACCGATTGTGCTAAATAAACTGACTTTCTGCTTCTCAACCACTATTGTACGTTCAAAGAGTTAAATCCATTTACACGCCGGCTGGCGGTAATATTTTTTGGGTGATTAGTGCATTCCAGTGACATAAACGTACAGTTTCCAGCCAACGGCAAGCTGCAATTGACCGATTGTGCTAAATAAACTGACTTTCTGCTTCACAACCACTATTGTACGTTCAAAGAGTTAAATCCATTTACACGCCGGCTGGCGGTAATATTTTTTTGGGTGATTAGTGCATTCCAGTGAGACAGAAACGTACAGTTTCCAGCCAACGGCAAGCTGCAATTGACCGATTGTGTACAATAAACTGACTTTCTGCTTCACAACCACTATTGTACGTTCAAAGAGTTAGATCCATTTACACGCCGGGTGGCGGTAATATTTTTTGGGTGATTAGTGCATTCCAGTGACATAAACGTACAGTTTCCAGCCAACGGCAAGCTGCAATTGACCGATTGTGCTAAATAAACTGACTTTCTGCTTCACAACCACTATTGTACGTTCAAAGAGTTAGATCCATTTACACGCCGGTGGCGGTAATATTTTTTTGGGTGATTAGTGCATTCCAGTGACATAAATGTACAGTTTCCAGCCAACGGCAAGCTGCAATTGACCGATTGTGCTAAATATAAACTGACTGACTTTCTGCTTCACAACCACTATTGTACGTTCAAAGAGTTAAATCCATTTACACGCGACGGCTGGCGGTAATATTTTTTGGGTGATTAGTGCATTCCAGTGACACAAACGTACAGTTTCCAGCCAACGGCAAGCTGCAATTGACCGATTGTGTACAATAAACTGACTTTCTGCTTCACAACCACTATTGTACGTTCAAAGAGTTAGATCCATTTACACGCCGGGTGGCGGTAATATTTTTTGGGTGATTAGTGCATTCCAGTGACATAAACGCACAGTTTCCAGCCAACGGCAAGCTGCAATTGACCGATTGTGATAAATAAACTGACTTTCTGCTTCACAACCACTATTGTACGTTCAAAGAGTTAGATCCATTTACACGCCGGGTGGCGGTAATATTTTTTGGGTGATTAGTGCATTCCAGTGACATAAATGTACAGTTTCCAGCCAACGGCAAGCTGCAATTGACTGATTGTGCTAAATATACTGACTTTCCGCTTCACAACCACTATTGTACGTTCAAAGAGTTTAAATCCATTTACACGCCGGCTGGCGGTAATATTTTTTGGGTGATTAGTGCATTCCAGTGACATAAAAGTACAGTTTCCAGCCAACGGCAAGCTGCAATTGACCGATTGTGCTAAATAAACTGACTTTCTGCTTCACAACCACTATTGTACGTTCAAAGAGTTAAATCCATTTACACGCCGGCTGGCGGTAATATTTTTTGGGTGATTAGTGCATTCCAGTGACAGAAACGTACAGTTTCCAGCCAACGGGCAAGCTGCAATTGACCGATTGTGTACAATAAACTGACTTTCTGCTTCACAACCACTATTGTACGTTCAAAGAGTTAGATCCATTTGCACGCCGGGTGGCGGTAATATTTTTTGGGTGATTAGTGCATTCCAGTGACATAAACGTACAGTTTCTAGCCAACGGCAAGCTGCAATTGACCGATTGTGCTAAATAAACTGACTTTCTGCTTCACAACCACTATTGTACGTTCAAAGAGTTAGATCCATTTACACGCCGGCTGGCGGTAATTTTTTTTGGGTGATTAGTGCATTCCAGTGACATAAACGTACAGTTTACAGCCAACGGCAAGCTGCACCTCGGGAATTGCTTTGTATATCTGTTCAGCACCTAGAGGCCGCTGTCCTGAACAGCTCATGAATTGGCTTTCTATATGTGTCGCCTTTGAGGCCGCTGGCAACGGCACAGCTGATGAATTGATTTGTATATATGTACTTATTGTCCGCTGTCCGGACAGCTCATGAATTACTTTTTTTGTATATAGCCTTCCAAACCACTCTCAGAATAAGTCATGATATTCATGCTGTGTATAGCCTTATAGGCCAATGGTCAATCAAGTCATGATTGTTATAATGTGTATAGCCTTATAGGCCGCTGTCTTTACAACTTTATAATTCCATGCAGTATATAGCCCTATCGGCCACTTTCTGGCATCCAGTTGCTGTAGCCCCCATCACCACACTGTGCCACGGGCCCCTGTACCGCCTTCTCATACTGCTGCCAGATCCATAGCCTCTGCCATGTGCGTATTTGTCGTCTGCTCACGCTGCTGGGTTCCAGTTTTAAACCTAGGCCTGTGTATGGCTTCCGAATACTGCTGCCTCCACCGCCACCCTGCGCCATGTGCCTCTGTCGTCTGCTCACGCTGCTGACGGCTTCCACTTTTTAACCTAGGCCTGTGTATGGCTTCCGAATACTGCTGCCTCCACCGCCACCCCCTGCGCCATGTGCCTCTGTCGTCTGCTCACGCTGCTGACACGGCTTCCGCTTTTTAAACTAGTCCTGTGTATGTCTTCCGAATACTGCTGCTGCCTCCACCGCCACCCTGCGCCATGTGCCACTTTCGGGTCTCCTCACACTGCTGCCAGGTCCATACTGATTCATGGCCCCCTGTACCGGCTCCCTCATGAACGTGGTTCAGCGGGTTTGCATCACTTAACGGCAAATCGTTGACAAATGCTGGGACGTTCAGTGTTGTGCGCATTAAGCCAGACACCAAAGGGCAGCACAGACCTGTTATTACTCGCTCAAGCATGGCTGAACAAAACCAGTCTCTACCACAAATTGGACCCAGACCTGCCCAGGGTCTCGTCACTAGATTGCACGGAGGAGTAGAGTCCGTTATCGGAATTAAATAGACAAAACGCCACACCAAAAAAGAGTGGCCATTTCCAACACTTATTCCAGAAAGAGGAACAACCCGTTTTCATATACGGCCCGTAGACGTTTCACGTCTGCCACATTCAGTCGATTTAAGACGCAAGCTCCACTTCCTGTGGTCTCTGACCGTCGATATACCTTTAAGTGTCAGCTTTGAAGCTATATTCCCTCCGGAGCACTGACACTGGTGCCCTTCCGTCAACATGCCTTTAAGTTTCAGTTTTCAACCATATTCCCCACAGAAGCCAAACTCTTGGGTATCCCAGAAGCTGCTCAGCGGGTCAGGGCAATAAAGCTCCCGGTTCGCAGGTTGTTCCGTCTTATGGATGGAAGTACGACGGTATATGATCTTCTTCGCACCCACGGCATTACCTCATAAAAATTTCTGCATTGCATCTGCAATCACAACGCTGACTTCCCGGATCGCCACTCAGCCATTGGACTCTTGATAGTCGTCTCCCCACACTGCTGCTGGGGGGGACTTTTTAACCTAGGCCTGTGTATGGCCTTCAATTGAAGCTGCTTCCGCTCCGCCACTCTGCCATTGGACTCTTGATAGTCGTCTCCCCACGCTGCTGCTGGGGGGACTTTTTAACATAGGCTCTGTATGGCCTTTAATTGAAGCTGCTTACGCTCCGCCACTTTGCCATGGGCCTCTTGGGTATCCCAAAAGCTGCTCAGCGGGTCAGGGCAATAAAAGCTCCCGGTTCGCAGGTTGTTCCGTCTTATGGATGGAAGTACGACGGTATATGATCTTCTTCGCACCCACGGCATCACCTCATAGAATCTCTGCATTGCATCTGCAATCACAACGCTGACTTCCCGGATCGCCACTCAGCCATTGGACTCTTGATAGTTGTCTCCCCACACTGCTGCTGGGGGACTTTTTAACCTAGGCCTGTGTATGGCCTTCAATTGAAGCTGCTTCCGCTCCGCCACTCTGCCATTGGACTCTTGATAGTCGTCTCCCCACGCTGCTGCTGGGGGGACTTTTTAACATAGGCCTCTGTATGGCCTTTAATTGAAGCTACTTACGCTCCGCCACTCTGCCATGGGCCTCTTGGGTATTCCAGAAGCTGCTCAGCGGGTCAGGGCAATAAAGCTCCCGGTTCGCAGGTTGTTCCGTCTTATGGATGGAAGTACGACGGTATATGATCTTCTTCGCACCCACGGCATCACCTCATAGAATCTCTGCATTGCATCTGCAATCACAACGCTGACTTCCCGGATCGCCACTCAGCCATTGGACTCTTGATAGTCGTCTCCCCACACTGCTGCTGGGGGGACTTTTTAACCTAGGCCTGTGTATGGCCTTCAATTGAAGCTGCTTCCGCTCCGCCACTCTGCCATTGGACTCTTGATAGTCGTCTCCCCATGCTGCTGCTGGGGGGACTTTTTAACCTAGGCCTGTGTATGGCCTTCAATTGAAGCTGCTTCTGCTCCGCCACTCTGCCATTGGACTCTTGATAGTCGTCTCCCCACACTGCTGCTGGGGGGACTTTTTAACATAGGCCTCTGTATGGCCTTCAATTTAAGCTGCTTACGCTTCGCCACTCTGCCATGGGCCCCTGTACTGCCTCCTCTTGCTGCTGCCAGGTCCAGAGTGTGTCATGGGTCCCTGTACGGCCTCCCATTGCTGCTGACTTCATCGCCAGACTCTGCCATGTGCCACTTTCAGGTCTCCTTACACTGTTGGTGGGTTCCATTTTGTGATAGGGTGCTGTATGGCCTTCCATTGCTGCTGCCTCCACCGCCACCCTGCGCCATGTGCCTCTGTCGTCTGCTCACGCTGCTGACGGCTTCCGCTTTTTAAACCGAGGCCTGTGTTTGGCTTCCGAATACTGCTGCATCCACCGCCACCCTGCGCCATGTGTCTCTGTCGTCTGCTCACGCTGCTGACGGCTTCCGCTTTTTAACCTAGGCCTGTGTATGGCTTCAGAATAATGCTGCCTACACCGCCACCCTGCGCCATGTGCCTCTGTCGTCTGCTCACGCTGCTGCCAGGTCCATACTGATTCATGGCCCCCTGTACCGGCTCCTCATGAACGTGGTTCAGCGGGTTTGCATCACTTAACGGCAAATCGTTGACAAACGCTGGGACGTTCAGTGTTGTGCGCATTAAGCCAGACACCAAAGGGCAGCACAGACCTGTTATTACTCGCTCAAGCATGGCTGAACAAAACCAGTCTCTACCACAAATTGGACCCAGACCTGCCCAGGGTCTCGTAAGTAGATTGCACGGAGGAGTAGAGTTCGTTATTGGAATTAACTGTGAGGGACTTTTAAAACCTAGGCCTGTGTATGGCCTTCAATTGAAGCTGCTTCTGCTCCGCCACTCTGCCATTGGACTCTTGATAGTCGTCTCCCCACGCTGCTGCTGGGGGGACTTTTTAACATAGGCCTCTGTATGGCCTTCAATTTTAGCTGCTTACGCTCCGCCACTCTGCCATGGGCCCCTGTACCGCCTCCTCATGCTGCTGCCAGGCTCGTAATCTGCCATGGGCCCCCGTACCGACCCCTCATGCTGCTGCCAGGCCCGTAATCTGTCATGGGCCCCTGTACCGCCTCCTCATGCTGCTGCCAGGTCCAGAGTGTGTCATGGGTCCCTGTACGGCCTCCCATTGCTGCTGTCTCCATCGCCACACTCTGCCATGTGCCACTTTCAGGTCTCCTCACACTGCTGGTGGGTTCCATTTTGTCATAGGGTGCTGTATGGCCTCCCATTGCTGCTGCCTCCACCGCCACACTGTGGCTCCACACTCTGGTTTTGGCCCCGTGACTGCCCAAATGAGTGAAGTGTGCGGTGATTCTAAGATCGACGGCACTCATCTGCATGTCATACTGACTGACAGTATTATTTCTCTTCCCCAGCAGACTCCAAGGGCATTTAAATTAAAGGTACAGTGTTCTGCACTAATATAAAGGCTCTCTGAAGCCTAGAAACACCCTTTTTATAAGTTAAATTCGCAGCGAATATATTCGGCTCGAAGCGAATTTATTCGGCGAATTCGGCGAATCAGCCGAACCGAATTTTTGAATAATTCGCTCATCTCTACTAATAATCATCATAATTAAGTATGAATCCACTGGTATGATAGCATCTTCCGATTGTTGAAGTAGATGCATTGTATGAAGGAGATAAGAGACCAAACTCAAAGCATTGCATTGTAGAAAGAAGTCAATGATGGTGTAACTGTGAGTTGGGGAAACAGCTCTCATTGTTTGAACACTGTTTGTGTGGAAGTAAATTAATGTTTTGACTGACATTCTGCGGTTTAGCCACAAGATGTCACTGTTTTTCTAACACAGCCTCAGACTGCATAGATATTTGTATATTCATGAAGAGGTAGGGTTTGGCACACGGAGGAGAGAGAGAAGCCATGTTTTGGAGCTTGGTGAATAAGGGGCCGTGTGAGCTGAGAATCTGATGACATCCAGGTGTGAAAGCATCCCTCAGTAACCAGAGATTGCTGCCAGGAATGCTGATGAGATTGCTGCCAGGAAGCTGATGAGATTGCTGCCAGGAATGGTGATGAGATTGCTGCCAGGAAGGCTGATGAGAGCAGAGGAACTAAGCAAAAAATACGGCAAGACCGCATGCTTGTTGGAGAGACATTTGTTCTGTTCAGAGTCACCAGCAGATGAAAAGCAGACCCGGGTCGGTAAGATCGTGCACGCACCTCATTTCAGTGTTGGCGCCTTGAGACTGAGTCCAGGCCTATAGTTAGTTAGCTAGGGTCTCTGTTTGTGTCAGGCCACAAGTGTTGTTACTGATTATTGGAAGGACTCCACAACTCAAAGTGACATTTCACACTGGAGAGCTGATAAAATCCTACAAACTCAAGCCAGACTGGCGTTTTGCTCAGAAGGAATACTCAGGCACGTGCTACAGGACCAGTTATGGGAGGGGGAATACTGTAGAGTTGTGTAAGATTGTAAGCTGTTCTGCTGCACCGCAGGCTATCCCATACCATACACCCATACACTGATTCCTGCTCTTTTAGGGTAATAACAGGTAAGGTGTGGCAGCTTAGTTGTGCCCGCCAGTAGGTAAATTACTTCACTTTCTACCTTCATCCATCAGAAGGCGCCGTGCTGTGCAGCACAAGGGTCTCAGCCCTTGGGCTGGGAGTATGTAAATTTATTGTATGTTTCCAGCATTTGTGGTTGTGCTTATTTGCCACATCTAAGTAAAATTCTGTTGTGGCAAAAGCTGGTGTTGGGGTTGCTTTCCTCATTCGTGACTTCACTGTATCCTGGGGAGCCCACCACGGTACACGGCTTACATAACTTCCCTCAGTAAGACTACCTAACCCAGAAATAATGGGTATCCCCAGAGATTTAGATCTATTTTTGTGAATTTTAGATAACATGTAAATCTAATCAATCACTGGACATTTCACTGACATATTTTCATTCCTTTTGTGTTTTTATGCCCACACCTTTAGTCTTCAAAATTATCAAAGACAATCTTTCATAAAAGGTTTCCATAGGGCTTTATAGTTGTCTCTTAGTAGTGTGTATGGTTGTTCAGCTATCATAGTGCTTCTTCATATACAGTCAGGTCCATAAATATTGGGACATCAACACAATTCTAACATTTTTGGCTCTATACATCACCACAATGGATTTGAAATGAAACGAACAAGATGTGTTTTAACTGCAGACTCTCAGCTTTAATTTGAGGGTATTTACATCCAAATCAGGTGAACAGTGTAGGAATTACAACAGCTTGCATAAGTGCCTCCCACTTGTTAAGGGACCAAAAGTAATGGGACAGAATAATAATCATTTAAATCAAACTTTCACTTTTTAATACTTGGTTGCAAATCCTTTGCAGTCAATTACAGCCTGAAGTCTGGAACGCATAGACATCACCAGACGCTGGGTTTCATCCCTGGTGATGCTCTGGCAGGCCTCTACTGCAACTGTCTTCAGTTCCTGCTTGTTCTTTTGGCATTTTCCCTTCAGTTTTGTCTTCAGCAAGTGAAATGCATGCTCAATCGGATTCAGGTCAGGTGATTGACTTGGCCATTGCATAACATTCCACTTCTTTCCCTTAAAAAACTCTTTGGTTGCTTTTGCAGTATGCTTTGGGTCATTGTCCATCTGCACTGTGAAGCGTCCAATGAGTTGTGAAGCATTTGGCTGAATATGAGCAGATAATATTGCCCGAAACACTTCAGAATTCATCCTGCTGCTTTTGTCAGCAGTCACATCATCAATAAATATAAGAGAACCAGTTCCACTGGCAGCCATACATGCCCACGCCATGACACTACCACCACCATGCTTCACTGATGAGGTGGTATGCTTAGGATCATGAGCAGTTCCTTTCCTTCTCCATACTCTTCTCTTCCCATCACTCTGGTACAAGTTGATCTTGGTCTCATCTGTCCAAAGGATGTTGTTCCAGAACTGTGAAGGTTTTTTAGATGTTGTTTGGCAAACTATAATCTGGCCTTCCTGTTTTTGAGGCTCGCCAATGGTTTTCATCTTGTGGTGAACCCTCTCTATTCACTCTGGTGAAGTCTCCTCTTGATTGTTGACTTTGACACACATACACCTACCTCCTGGAGAGTGTTCTTGATCTGGCCAACTGTTGTGAAGGGTGTTTTCTTCACCAGGGAAATAATTCTTCGCTCATCCACCACAGTTGTTTTCTGTGGTCTTCTGGGTCTTTTGGTGTTGCTGAGCTCACCGGTGCATTCCTTCTTTTTAAGAATGTTCCAAACAGTTGTTTTGGCCACGCCTAATGTTTTTGCTATCTCTCTGATGGGTTTGTTTTGTTTTTTTTCAGCCTAATGATGGCTTGCTTCACTGATAATGACAGCTCTTTGGATCTCATCTTGAGAGTTGACAGCAACAGATTCCAAATGCAAATAGCACACTTGAAATGAACTCTGGACCTTTTATCTGCTCATTGTAATTGGGATAATGAGGGAATGACACACACCTGGCCATAGAACAGCTGAGAAGCCAATTGTCCCATTACTTTTGGTCCCTTAACAAGTGGGAGGCACATATGCAAACTGTTGTAATTCCTACACCGTTCACCTGATTTGGATGTAAATACCCTCAAATTAAAGCTGACAATCTGCAGTTAAAGCACATCTTGTTCGTTTAATTTCAAATCCATTGTGGTGGTGTATAGAGCCAAAAATGTTAGAATTGTGTCGATGTCCCAATATTTATGGACCTGACTGTACATACAGTATATTGCTAGGCCACACCAAACATTGCTTTATTTGACTCCTTCATAACAAATCTGTCCTGGTTGACAAATTATACAATGCTGGTTGTTTCACTGCAGACAGGTTAGATATGTTGCAATCCCTGTATGGCAAATATTTCACTTCTGAAGAGACAAGTTGGAAGAATAATTTAACAGCTCAACAAACATTAAAGAATGATGAAGGGATAGATGGATTTCTAAAAAGGTGTGATCTGAGTAAATCTTAATTACCAATATTTTATTTCTGCAAGTCCATCAGATCTTGCATTATTTGTCTATTTAGGATGTCTAAGTATGAAGATGCTAAAACATAAAAAAGAACATATTTTATTAAAAAAAAAAAAAATTTTGACTTGTCTTGCCTTAATTGACATCATTTGCAGATAGAGCTCATCCCTTTGAACTGCAAATTAATTAAAGAGAGCAAAAATACAAAATTAGCAATGGTACTTTTGTATCTCTAAATTGTGCATGTACATTGTTTATGAACACTGTGTCAGAAGGCCAGCAGCTATATTAACACAGCAACCCCTGGTTGTGAAAATGAATTGCTGGCACATGCAAAGGATGGGGGCCTGAAAGGGGGGTAGTAGGGTAGTAGGGTGGTGGTTGTTTGTCACATTCCTACATGTTTTCCAGTTAACCTGTTGGGCGCCAAGTCTGGGAAACATGAGAGTCCTACCCCAAAGTGGGTTCTTCTAAACTATGCTAGGCACCTTGTACAGGGTCTCTCTCTTTCTGTCTCTACCGCACACATATGGGGTACCTTTGCTTTAGTGCCATTTCACTAATGCCCTGGGGCAAGGCTGAGGAAGCCATCAAGGAATACATGACCTTAAGGCGGGCTTCAACTCCTAGAGATGAACATATACAATGTACACTTACACAACAACTGTTTTCCAGTTAACTCTTGGGTAAATGTACATCTTCCCACTATAGCTTGCAATTAGGTGGACCATGCTGAATGCTGACCATAGCCACCTGTCCAGCATTTCCCACTACCAGACCCAGAAGCAGCATGGAACCCCGCCTTGCACATAGCGCAGGCTCCAACATGCACTTGACTTTAATTCTTAAACTTCAATGCCTCTGTACAGCATGGAGACCTCTGCAGTGCAATTCCATTCCTGTTGCTGTGGGAGACTGAATGCGGCATAGGGAGTGCTGACAACATCTCCCTCATGGCTAGAAGCAATTCCACCTATAACAGGTACACTCTTTCAGACAGTCTGCTCGCTAACTGTACCTTCGTTGCTCGTGGCAATCACATGTATAACTTGCATTAAGGTGACCCTTTACCATGTTAACTCTTCATACCCCATGTGTTAGTGACCCAAGCTGTAGACTAAGTGTGCAGTAGTGCTGGTAACTGGTAGTGAACCCCTTTTAATGGACTTCAGACCAGGCAGATGCAAAATTTCAACACTGCACTCAGATAAGTTCAATGGTACAAAATCCAGCAGAACAGACAGCACAGTTTCAATGATTCCAGATAAGTCATTATCCCTAAGTCCTTAAATCTAACCAGACTATGTGATGTCCTGGCATATCTGCATATGATGTCCATATTTAAATAGGTCCATGAATGGCAACCTCCAGTGGTTGAAGTCTTCGGGGGAGACCCCAGGTGTCATGGCTCGCACATCTTTTGGCTTCATGTGTGGCTACAGGGCTGATGGACCAGCTAGACCTGGACCCCTGGGCTCTGGACCACTGTCCATTTTTATACTCACAGGATTAATGGTCAGACCTAGAGATCCCTCCAAAAACAACAACTGGGGAAAAAAGTTCACCCCAGCCTTCCCATCCGGGACAGCAGCTAACTAGGTACTTCAAACCTGCGTACAGGTGGCAGTAGAGTAGAGCTTACTACACACACCCTTTGTACTTCGATTACGTTTTTTGGGGGGTACGTATAGTACGTCTAATGTCCACAACAGGTGTTGGACCTCAAAAATCCTTTTAATAACAGCTTCCCCAAATCTGTACCCCATATTCTAGATTTGACCTTGAAAGTAATTTATTCAGGGCTAGTACTGTACTATCACTACATATTTTGTCTACATTTTTAGATGACCCAAGTTTTACTTGCTTTTGTAAGTGCTGCTTGGCATTAAAATATGTAACAATGAGCCATTTGTAGCAGTGTTTAAATGTATGATTAGATGGATTGATTAGAGGTTTGCCATCAAACAACAACAGTTAATTATACTTGACACATTTTATTATAGCTTAGAAATCCTCTTACTGACAGGTCATGCTGGTTTTCTATAGATAAAAAAAGAAAAACAACCCTTTTTTAACAAAATCTATATTTGTGTGTATTACAAAAACTAAGCCTAAGGGCTTTGTCGCAGTAGAATCTTGTTGCTGATGAGTTGCTCATCATGCAGCATGGCTCCCTCACTGGAGAGCAAC